AAAAAAAATATATATTTATATATTTGTTTTCAAAATACTCAATACTCATTACTGACATTTGGTCAGTTCGTCTGAGATTACAACACACCACAACAGTAAATTATTGTTAGGACACAGACAATGCAAACTGTACAGGGTGGAGGGTTGCAACAGTGACCACCATCACTGTCCAGGACACCTCAGACACTGGGGATACAAAACCAAGTGAGGATTGAAAGGGCTTAACACTGTAACAAAGCATGTGCTTATTAGTAACCAGAAAGACAAAGGAAATTAAGGGCAAAACTGTGAGAAGTCCATTTTCATTTGGATTACTCTGCTGGTCTTCTGTGTTTAAAAAGAATCTACTTGGTAAAACTGCCAGGTGGATATGTATATTTTGTCTTAATGTGAATTTCAGCATTGATTAGTCAGCAAATAATTTAACTTTAAATTTTGTTTATGCCATCTTTCAGATAAGACATTAAACTGAGGATCTGAATCTCAGTAGTCACTAAAGATCCCTGTGCAATTTCTCGATAAGAGTAGGGAGTTATCTCGGTGTCCAGGTCAAATTTTCCTCCTTGGCCTTTACTGTGGCCTCCTAAATGCCCCCATGTACGATTGGCTTGCACTTGCCCTGCGATAGACTGGCTGGGTTGACCCTGCCTTGCGCTCATTGCTTGCCGGGTAGGCCCCAGCTTCCCCAGACACCATATGGTATAAAGTGGATAGGCAAAAGACATGACATTTTGTTTATGACCAATGTAATTCATACATACTGTACTGTAGTGTGACAGTATCATACTGTATATACAGTATATTTTTCATAAATGGTATATCTGTTTATGAAGACGGTGGAATGCTGTTGTGTATTTTTATTAATCTTAGCTATCACTACCAGCCACATGCAGAATGTATAAAATATTTATACTGATGAAAAAAATAAATGCAACACCTCCTCCTCCACAGGCTTTCCTGTCTGCGGGGAACAGGCTGAAGAGTGACTCATCCGTAAATAGGACCTGATGCTACTGCTGACGAGTCCATCACAGCCTCTTTCTGGCCCAAGCCAGGTGGGAGTGACGACTAGGAGATGTGAGCAGACGGCCTCTGACAGGTCGCCTTGCTCTAAGGCCAACAGTATGGATTCTCAATGTCTTGTCACTGATGCAGGCATTGTGTCTGCCGGCAACAGTACGTGTGGCAGATCTGAAATAATTTCTCAAATAGACTAGTCTGATGTGTTGGTCCTGCACTGGTGAGGTCACTCGAGGGATCTTGGATGGTAATCTGTCCTGCAAGTGTGCTGAAACTTTCTCTGCAGTCAGGACACTGTGGAGCGGCTTACTCCATAGTGTCTGGCAACGCTGACACATGAAATGCCTGCCTGCAGCATGCCAATGGCCCTCTCCCTTGCTTCTGGTGACAGTCAAGGCATTATGGAATGCACGGAAAACTGACTTTTTCTTGCAGTGACCTAAGCTTTGAATTAAGGCTTTTTTAAAGGTTTTTTTCTACCTGGACCTCGTTAGATGTTCCAAACGAAAGTACATAAGCTGTATACTATTCTCTTTCCAGAAATGTTTGGTTTCTTTTTTCCATCAGTACATATTCCTAAATTAATATTTTTTATGATGTTCACAGATGTTTCTGTTATGTTTATGCTTAGCTACCAAAATTACCCTTTAGTTTTAAATTCCATATCAATATTCCATATTAAACTGATTTGAGAAAGAGATTGAATGAAGCTATCATGTCACTGGCACCACAAGTGCCACCTATTGATTATCTTTGGCCAGTGAATTACACCACGCAACACACATCTGTCTGTCTTTCAAATATCACTGTCTGGATGTCATGAGAATTGAAAGAACCTTCAGATAGTACTGGTGTTCATCACACTGTACTTTAACAATTTGATAAAGGACAAATTCATGAATTTGTTTATTCTTAGATTTTTGTAAATGTGTTTTTTTAAGTCACTGTGTTTATTTTTTAACCCATTTGAAAAGCACTTCAGCTCATAATGTGAAGCTTCTTTAAAGACTTAACTCCAATACTATCCCTCTGTCATTTTCACTTTATCAATTTTGCCTTCTTAGTCACACTATTGGAGAAACTCCTGTTTATTGCTATGCAGAAAGATACTGTATCCAAGGTGTCACCTGCTTCTTCCAAACTAATATAAATACAGTTTAAACAAACATACAACTATGTTACTTCAATATATGTGCTTTTGTGATTTCTGTTCCCCAGCTGCTTCATGACACAATCGTCCTTCTTAGGAACAAATATATCATACAAAATCAGCTGTAACCAAAGTGATTTTTTTCCAGTTGCCCTTTGGGCCGGGTCCCTCTTGCTCTTGCTTTCAATCTCTCTGGATTAATAAGAGCTACAGCTACAGCTCTGCACTCAGCGGCCTCCAGGGTCACTGTGAAGAACTGGCCCTATAAACAGCTGAGATGAGAGGGAATTTTTTTTGTCCAGTAGATCCGTGTGAGTTCTGTGCTGGAAGAGCAGAGAGAACAGACTCAGATTGTAGGTATGTAAAAACATAGGGGAAATATCAATTAATAAAAATATATGTAATGCATCTTCTCAAGTTTTTATATTTGGATGTTTGGAGAAATAATCTTATAATATTACAGAAATTGTTGTTGAGGAGTTATGTAAGATATTCCCGGTGCTAACATTGTTTACCTCCTCTGTTCAAATTCATAGCACACAGTAATGGGATAGTCAAAACTTTATGTTTATGTGTTTGACAGATACAATTTGCTGAAATGTAAGAATTACATACAAATGTTCCAAGCTTTTACAGTCTGTATGTTTTCTGTTTATCCTAGAAAGTCCTAAGGACAAACTGCATGTCATTTACAATTGCAGACATTGTTCAGTTTTTCTTTATTTCTCAGTTTTTCTTTATTTCTAAGCTTTTATCAGCATATCAGAATGATGTCAAATCACTCATAACCTTAAAATGCATTTCAGGAGTAATGTTGAAATGTGTTTGGAACTGTTTTGTCTGTGTATGCAGTGTGTTGGTCTTAGTTCTGACATCTTCCTGGTAAAATGGGTGCCTTTTAAAAAAAAGAGACTAAATCAGAAGAAACGATTGTTAAAAATACTAGTGTAAAAAGGGTCATTGACCACTTTTAGCTTTCCTTTTCAGCTTCTGTCCTCTTGTCTTTGTCAATAAATGTGAAAATGGAATGAAATGCACTGCAAAAAGAAAACAAATTCTGAAAAACATAAACTGCTAAGTAACATCACTATGTTGATGAATTACTGTCCAATACTGTTAAAATAATATGTTTTTGTTACTCATCTTTGTTGTTGGAGGTCTGTATTTTCATTTATTTGTAAATAAAGCTTTTGGATTTTTGTGCAGGATATTTTATTATCTTTATATGGTGGTACAAACTGAAGTTTTCTCCATATTCTCCTTTGGTAGAGAAAACTGCAAACACCTGGCCTAATTACCCAATTAGTGTCCTACTCTATGTGAATGGAATGAAAAAAGAGCTAATTTCATAGCCCTTGTTGTTGATTAACACATTCCACAGGATTAAATGCCAGGTCATATTAGTAGTTATATAGCCTACTATCTGTTTCTAAGCTCTTACCATTCAGGAGAATTAGGTTAGTGCTATTCAAACTATAGAAAGTTTAGATAGCACAGAAATGTTTATTCAACTCCTGTGCTTTAATCCCAGCAGTCAGATGGCAGGACTAACACCAGTTTGTTTTGAAGATTTAAAGATGATAAAAACTTGCATGGATTTTGTTTGGATTTAGTAATTAGTGCAGTAACAGATTAATGTTTAGATTTGAAAATAAGATGCCAATAGTTAAACTGGGTAAGATGCACTGTTAGGTGTTTTTGAGGACATTTTCTTCCAGATAACTGTCCATATATGGGTGAGCCCAGTTTCAATTGAGTATGAATGCGGTAAAAATATTTCCAAGGCATTGTAAATATAGTTTAATTCTTCAACATATGTATCCAATACATATCTCACAGGAATTAATGTCTAACATTGTTTAAAATATAACAGTGGGAAAAAAACGTCAGAAATACAGTGCATAACTCCTTTAAATGTCTGAAACTCATAACTTGAACAAATAAACTTCAATATCACTGTCCTTAAAAAAAGCAATACAGTAAATCTGAAATATTATTTTTTATTTCTGTACTATTTATATTTATATTAATGCTTTAAAATTCTTTATTGGCTCATTATCTAAATATAAATTTCTATCAATTTCTATATTTCTATAAAATCCACTGAATGTACATTCATTCTTTGTCATCCAGTTCCCAGCTGGAGCTGCTGAAACTTTGACTAATGGGAGGAACCAATGTTACCCTGCTCTCTGAGTTTATCATGTTGGGATTGCCAGGCCTGCAGGAGCACAACACTGCTCTCTTCACCTTCTTCCTTATCCTCATCCTGGCCACCCTCCTGGGAAATCTGCTCATCGTGGTGTTAATTTCCCTAGATCATCGACTCCACACACCAATGTACTTCTTCCTCTGGAACTTGGCTGTGTTAGATGTACTAATAACTGTCACTGTCATACCCAAGTTGTTGGCAGTTCTTTCAGGACATGACAAGACCATATCTTTCTTTGGTTGTTTTGCACAAATGTATTTTTTTATCTCATTTGCAGCTGTTGAAGCATACCTTGTTGCAGTCATGGCTTATGACCGGTATGTTGCTATAGTAAAACCTCTGCATTACAATAACGTCATGAGCATGAGGGTCTGTATTACAATGATGGCCTCAATTTGGGTGTTGGGCTTCCTTGCACCCTTAACATCTGTTATACTGGCAAGCACTTCATCATACTGTGGATCAAATCATATCCTTCACATTGTCTGTGACTACCCCACTGTAATGTCATTAGCCTGTGGTGATGTCACAGCACAAGTGAACCTTGCTTTGTGCCTTGCAATGGCTGGAATTTACATTCCTGTTCTGTTTGTACTTTGGTCCTACTACAGAATTATATGCTCAGTGATAAAGATGAAAACATTGCAGAGCCGTAAAAAGGCCTTCTCAATGTGCTCTTCACATGTGATTGTTGTCTTCCTGTACTATATGTCCAGTGCTGTGGTGTATATCGGCATGAGAGTGGAAGGTATCCCACGTGATGGCCGTATCTTCAGTGGTGCAGTGCACTATTTCCTCACTCCTTTTATCAACCCCATAATTTACAGCTTAAGCCATGAAAAAATCAAGGCTGCGGCTCACAGATACTTGAGGTTAAATGTCTCTATCCAGCACACAGCAAAGAATATCGTTAACACGGGACTATAAATTACATGATCAGTTTTAAATGTGATTTATAATATAAAGAAAGAATCACAAAATCATTTTTGCTGAAAACCATGTGTTAAAATTTCACAGTAATATTAAAGTGGAATGCATCTCCAAGGGTAAGGAAAAAATATCATGTGGACTTTGAACTGCATATTTAAAAGAAAAAAAAACATTGATTATTTATCAATAAAATGTAGCAGCAAGGCTTATTGATGAACCTCAGAATGAGGGTTTGTTGTGAAACTCCAGTGAGAGGCTCATTTCTGTGATCTTACTCACAAAATGACATAGTGTTATTTGTATGTGGGAAAGTAAGGGAGATGAGTTTATCTTTTTTATAAGGTCCTTTCCCAGGACAATCCAGATAAGGTGGATGTCCACTGCTGGTGTCTGGATATCCATAGACATCTAGACATAATCTTATGCCTTACAGGCCATGTTCAGTCATCCAACAAGATGACCAACCAATCAGGGACCTGCAGTGTGTGGGTAACCAATCCACTTTTTTGACCAATCACCTAGCGTATTTTCCCCAGTTAAAAAGCTGTGCACATCACCTCTTAATCTGCTTTTCTCTGCTGAACCAACTTGACTGACTGTTAACAGAACCATGTACTTTCCACACTTGTTTTCTAAAATTTGGAACTTAAAATTTCTCCTGCAGAGTTAGAGAATAACCCTGCAGTTAGAGAATAACAAGGTCTAGCCTACAGCAGTACTAGCCTACCAGATAGCTATAGCTATGTAATATAATTCAATTGTCCCAGTTCAGCTCAAAGCTTACCCAGACACCCCAATGGAAAGAATGTCAGCTACAGCTGGATCCTTGTCTCTCTCTCCCCACGATATCCCAGGACTGGAACCAATAAAGGATGGATTGGACAGCACTGAAATGGACAGCACGTCAGCTGTTCCCCTATCTTTCTGGTGGGAGTTATGAATCTACAGTTGTGGATGAGCATAATTCAATATTCACCATTTACTGTTCTCGAGAATGTAATTGTTCTATAAATACTTTGATATTAGTTTAATACAGTTATACAGCATTAATTACTCATGAGCACCACAATGTTTATTATGTTACTGAGGCTGATTAATGAGTTATTGTAACTAACAATATATTATATGTTGTCCTTTATTTCCATTTATCTTTTCTTCTTTCTTGCAATAGTTTGATAATTCTTATGTAATGAGCTGCCATCTGTATTCAGACAGACTGTCATAGAGGTTCCCTGAATGCTTTTATGTTCACATTGTTTTATGTATCAATAAATGTATACCATCTATTGTGAATCTTTATGAAGACTCCTTGTTGTTCCGTGGATTGATTTGAAATAGCCAAGTCAAACAATTTTTAGTTAAAACTAAGTGTTCTGCCAGTAAATTCACACAAACCCCTACACCCCTATCTGTAATAAAACATAACTGTCATTATATATTATATAATGATTACTGTTATAAATGGGGAGTTACAAACAAAGGGAAAATCAGGAATTGGCCAAGTGGATAAATGTAAATAACAATGACAGTTACACACACTAAACTAAACACAATATACACATAAAACACACAAGTTACCCTATGCACAAATTTACAAATTTTGTCCTAGAGGTGTAAAGTCTTAACCACTGAGAAAACCCAAGACTGTTAACAAGTATTCAAACTCCTATATAATTAATATTTAATTAAGCACATATACATGTTAATATATATGATACATACATATAATATAGAAAATAAATAATGAAGGACACAAAACAAGAGAAAAGTGCCTTCTAAACAAAAAAGAATACTATCTGCTATTAGTATTTGTTTTATTCTAAAGATATTTGTAAATGTCAGTGTTTCATTTTAATTAACATTTTTGTCCCATTTGTAGTAGCAGCTCAGCTCATAATGTGAAGACGCCAGCACTATCCTTCTGTCAGTCCACCTTGTCAGTTTCCTTAGTCACACTATGGGGCAAACTCCTGTTTACTGTTCTGAAGGCAGCACATGTATCCAAGATATCTTCTGCTTCCTTCAAACTTGTATAAATATATTTGAAACAAACATACAACTATATTTTGCTATCATTCATTCTTTTTGTGATTTATGTTGCTCTGCTGCTTAATATAACTAGGATTGAATGTTCTTCACAGGCACATGTGTAGGAGTTGTATTAATTTACTTGTATAATTTTAGTTGTAATATTAAATTACATGGGCTTGCCTTCACTATTAGGAATCAATCAACAGAATAACAAGTTTGCACAAAGACTCAGAACACACAGGATACATTTAGAGATACACAAAATGTGCACATAAAAACATTGAAATACACAAAACACTGCCTGAATAGAAATGGCAGCTCATTAAGTGATGGTTATCAAGCTATAGCAGATATCAAGAAGAGATACAAAAACAAGCTGCATACATTTAGTATTCAATCTGTTAAACTATCTCTTTAATCCTTCCCATTAAATATACTCAACACTTAGATACTATAGATGTAAGTAAATGTTATTACTTACATGTAGATTAATTACAATTAATATCTACATGAGTTAGTATAGTAATTGATTTCTTGAGATTGGTGATGATGAATATTAACCTACAGTATATTTATCCACAATTTGGATAAATTCAGCACAGAAGGATGAGGGAACTGCTGCAGTGCTGTCCAATCCATATTCTGGTGGCTCAATGTACATTCACTCTAGTGCAGCTTGAGGTATAAGGGAGAGAGGTCCTGCTGTAAGCTCACTCTGACAGTGAGTTTTCTGAAGTGGAACATGCTAGCATTGAGCTGAATTGGGACAATGACTGCTTGGTCAGGGTGAGCAAAACAAAAAAACGGGAGAACTCATTTTACTCCTAGTATATGTGGCTATGTAGCCAAGGGGGATTCCAGAAATCCAGGGAGAACATCCACTGATCATACCCAGAGCGGATGTGTGTAGTTTTTAAAAAGACCAATCCACACAAGGCTCCTGGTCCTGATGCTATTCCTGGCCGTGTTCTGAAAGTATGTGCAGACCAGCTGGCAGATGTCTTCTCAGACATATTCAGTCTTATTCTAGCTCAGTCTATCGTTCCTTCCTTCTTTAAGAAAACCACCATTACCCCTGTTTCTAAGAAACCCAGAGTCAGTTGCCTGAATGACAACCACCCCTTTGCACTTATATTTGTTATCATGAAGTGCTTCAAGCAGTTGGTCAAAGCATACATCACCACCTCACTGACTGACACCCTACACCCAATGGAATTTGTATATAGCCAGAACATGTCAACAGAGGATGCTATTGCCACTGCCCTCCATACTGTCCTCTCACACCTGGAAGGAACATATGTGAGAATGCTGTTTGTTGATTACAGCTCAACAATACCCATTCAATTGTGCCCTCAAAGCTTGTCATCAAGCTCCAGTACCTGGAACTAAACGCCTCCCTTTGTAATTGGATCCTGGACTTCTTGACGGAACGTTGACAGGTGGTGAAGGTGGGCACCAACATATCCTCTACCCTGACTTCTAAATACTGGAGCCCCCTAACGCTGTGTGCTTAGCCCTCTCCTCTACTCCTTATTTACCCATGATTGTGTTGGCAGGCATAACTCAAACTCCATCATTAAGATTGGTAAAGAGTCTGCGTATAGGGAGGAGGTTGAAACCCTGGCAGCATGGTGCCAGGAAAACAACATCTTTCTGAACATCAGTAAGACTAAGGAGATGATCGTGGATTATAGGAAACACCAGGGAGGAGCTTACATACCTATTTATATAAATGGGACTGCAGTACAAAGGGTCAGCAGTTTTAATTCTGGGTGTTAACGTCACAGAGGACTTAACCTGGACCCACCACACCAACACCGTGGTCAAAACAGCACGGCAGCACCTATTCTTTCTCCACAGGCTAAAGAAGTTCAGCATGCCGTCACATATCCAGGCCAGCTTCTACAGGTGCACTACTGAGAGTATCCTGACTGGTTGCATCACTGCCTGGTATGGGAACTGCTCTGCCCAGGATTGAAAAGTACTGCAGAGGGTGGTGAACTCAGCGGAGCTCATTACTAGCTGTGAGCTACCAAACATCCAGGATATCTACTTAGCTAGATGTCTTAGGAAGGCCAGGTCCATTATCATGGACTCCAGTCATGTCAGTCATAAACTGTTTTCTCTCCTACCGTCTGGTAAACGGTATCGAAGCATTCAGTCAAACTCCAACAGATTACAGAATAGCTTATACCTTCAGGCAATAAGACTGCTAAATAGCTGAGCTGCAGTTCCTTTAGAAAATCACCTTAATAGCTACATGGACATACAGTTTTCATTGTATTCAGCATACTGCATTACTTGGACATAATATATTGCATACACCCTGGACACATAGCAGATCTATTTAGATTGAGTTTTGTCTGAGTTTATCTTATTTAATTTCTATTGCAATACTATTATGTAACCTTAATTTTGTGATTTTTATCCCCACCCTCTCATAGAAAAGATATTTCATTGCCAACAATTACTGCTGCATGCTGTAATGTTGTGCATTTGATAAATAAACTTTGATTGATTGACATCTGAAAACAAAATTATCCTGAAACTAGGATCACACTTTCCTCCTTCTCTCAAGGACAGACTCTTTTCTTTCTAATCCTCTTTATTCATTTGCAGATCTAAACGTCATATCCCTCTGCACCTCTCTCAACTTCACACCACCTGAGTGTCCACTCTGCTCCTGTTCTGCTCCTGCCTTCTCTCCACTCCTGGCTTTTGTTTTCCCATGCTCTATCAGCTGTTGATTTCCCTCTTTTTCTCACATCTGAAGAAGGCTCCACATCCACAACATTGTGTTTCTTTTCTTCTCTTTTGAGCATGGAATAAACCTTTACTTGTTCCATTACAGCCTACGCATGCTGACGCAGCTACCTACTTGAACTACAGTACGTGTCTTATCAACTTATCCCATATGTACATCATTAAATTGGTATCGACCAGCACGGCTCCCTCTAAGCTTCGCAGCCACACACCTTTTTTTAAACTGCCGCGCAACAAACTCAGAGGGAAATTTATTTGTGCCCCACCGGGAGACAGCTCTCCAGGTGTTCCTCTGGGCTCTAGCGCCGACTGAGATGCTGGCAGCGCCAGTCCCCTTGGAGCAGGCCCTCCCCTGGGAAGGAGGAGATGGCCAGTGCGGCGATGCTGGGGCAGCAACGACAGCTGGTCATCTGCCACAGCTGTGGGTAGAGGGGGCACATCGACCGGGAGTGCTGGGCACTGGAGCCCCGGGGACTCCGGAGGCCGTCAGGAAACGGGAGCGGGGCGGCCTAAATGGGCCCTTGAGCGACACTACCCTCGCTCCGGAAAGCCAGAAAGAGTGCTTCCCCCTGCCTGCTGTGGGAAGAGTTGGCCACAGCCGGGGCTTATTTCCAGGCCCTCGTCGACACCAGTTTAACCATCACCTGCGGGGGTGGCAGGTGCCCTCCAGCGGCAAGGTCACTGCTTGGCGGCCTCCGGCTGACCATGCACCGCTTGGAGAACCGCCCCACGGAGTGACCGTGAAACCACAAACTGCCGCCTGACCTGGCAGCTGGAGGACACCCGCCACACCTGGCGCAGCACCCTGTCCCTTACGCCCAAGTCAAGGCAACCACCCACCTGCTGCAATCAGTCCAACCCCAGGATACAGTCCTCGAGGACTGGGGCAAGGTAGAAGGGGTGTTTCACCCTCGCAGCCCCAAAGTGCACGGTGAGCGCCCTGGGGGTCCAGCTGCCTCAGTGCCCGGCAGGACACCAGGCCACAGCAGGGTGATGGTCAAACCAGTGTCGACGAGGGCCTGGCAGGGTCTGACCTGGGTAAGGCAGGGAAGGAATAAGCCCCGGCTGTGGCCAACTATTCCCACAGCAGGCGGGGTGAAGTGCTCCTTCTGGCTTTCCGGAGCTGGGGTAGCATTGCTCAAGGGTGGCCTTTCCACCTTTAGGCCGCCCCGCTCCCGTTTCCAGATAGCCTCCGGAGTCCCTGGGGCCAGGGGAACCGGCAGTTCTCTGAGTCTGACATCATCGGCCATTCACTGTTCATCCTCCTGCTTCTAACACCAATGTAATGAATTCGGGTTATATAGCACCTTTAAATGTGGCTTTTTAAAAAAAAAAATTTAATGCATTTGCATTTGCACACAGAGCAGTGTTTACTTGAACATGGAGATACCAAACTGAATAATTCCTGCACACAACCATTGCAGCGGAATGTGTATCGTTTGTCAGGGCTATGATTCATACAAGTGGTGGTGGATTTGGAGACAAAATGTATTTACATTTGTTGCTGTAAGTGGAGCACTAATAGGCCCAAAGCTCTACTTATTATTTTACAAGAGAATGCACCTGACAAGCTGGACAGTATGCTTCTCGAAGCGCTTTACAGGATAACATCAACATTAACAACACCAATTTACATGTTCTGTGAGGAAAAATATTATCAATATTAATAATAATAATAATAATAATA